TGGTATTTTTTGTAGAGATGGGGTTTCACCATGTTGGCCAGGCTGGTTTTGAACTTCTGACCTCAGATGATCCACCCACTTTGGCCTCCCAAAGTGTTGGGATTACAGACATGAACCACCACACCTGGCCTAGGTTAAAATACTACTTTCTCTTTTTTTTTTTTTTCGAGACAGAGTCTCACCCTGTCCCCCAGGCTGGAGTGCAGTGGTGCAATCTCAGCTCAGTGCAACCTCCACCTCCTGGGTTCAAGCGATTCTCCTGCCTCAGCCTCCTGAGTAGTTGGGATTATAGGCACCCACCACCAAGCCCGGCTAATTTTTGTATTTTTAGTAGAGACGGGGTTTTGCCATTTTGGCCAGGCTGTTCTCAAACTCCTGACCTCAGGTGATCCGCCTGCCTTGGCCTCCCAAAGTGCTGGGATTACAGGCGTGAGCCACCACACCTGGCCTAGGTTAAAATACTTCTCTATGTATGTACACGTGTCTCTAAGATGGTCCCCTGTGATTCTCACCCCTAATATTTACGTCCTTGTGCATCCTCTACGATGCTGAGTAAGGCTGACCTGTGTAATCAGTAGGATGCTGCAGAAATGACGGAGACTGACTCTGGAAGCTAAGTCATGAAAGACATTGTGGTTTTCATCCTGCTCTTTCTCTTGGTCACTGCTTCCGGCAGAAACTGCTGTGTTATGAGGACCCTCACACAGAACTACAGAGAAATCCACATTGTCAGGAACTGAGTTATCTTGCCAAGAGCCAGCACTACTTTGCCAAACGTGAACAAGCCACCTTGGAAGTAGAAGTCCTGGCCCCAGTCAAGCCTCCAGATAACTGCAGCCCTGGCCAACATCTGGATGCCACTCCCATGAGCGACCCTGAGCCAGATCCAAACAGTTAAACTACTCCCAAATTCCTGACCCATAGTAACTATGAGACAATAATTATTTTAAATTTGGGGGAGGCCGAGCACAGTGGCTGAGCACAGCACTTTGGAAGGCTGAGTCAGGAGGATCACTTGAGCCGAGGAGTTTGATACCAGCCTTGAGAATATAGGGAGACCCTGTTTCTATGAAAAACTAAAATTGTGTGTGTGGGTAATTTGTTACACAGCAATATATAACTGATAAATAACTGACAAAGTATATACGTATATATGTATATCAGGTGTCTCTATACCCACCCACATATACAAACACATACACATGGAAGAGCACATGAGGATAATCACCAAAGGTCAGCAGTGGTTGTCTGGGCAATGGGATTATGGGTGACTTTTCCTTCCTCTCTACACCTTTATGGACTATCTACACTTTTTACAGTGAATATTAATTTTTTCAGTATATATATATATA